GGGGGGGGGGGGGGGGGGAGAGGGGGGGGGAGAGGCTACTGACCTCACATAGGTTAGATGTTTAACCTAAAATCCCCCCAATTTTACACACACTACACGCTAGTACGGCCCTGGCATTCACGAGGTACATAGGCACACTTTTCCCAGGACAGAGGCAGGCGGGTTTGGGGCTGTGGTTCCTTCTGCCCCAGCCCCAGCCCCAGCTCCGGGAAGACGCCAAGTCACGGCCCCTGAGGACCTTGCTTTCCTTCCCTGCACAGAGCGGCTGTCAGCCTCCTTGCCTGTCCCCCGATCGAGTCCTGCTCCTGAAGTGGCCCTGGGACCCTTCCCCACCAATGAAATTAAGCCGTCAAAGCCAGGACTCCCAAAAGCAAGCCTGACTGAGAGGAATTTGCCACCTTAATGGTCCAGGACGTGGCTCAGGATGGCAACGGCAAAAACAACCCTGCGGTGTGTAACTCCTTCGAGCTCCCCCCGACTGATGCTGGATGCCCTCCTGCAGATCCCTTTGCTCTTTCTGCATGTGCAAAACAGCCAAGAGCAGCCTTCCCCTGAGCTAGAGGCTCTGAGTTCAAAAGCTGCCCCAAACCTACTTCCTCCTGCAGAGAAAAACCGGGGGAAGCTCACCCAAGATCCAACTCCCAGGCTCCTTCCCTAGGCTGCCAGCAGGTCCCCCCCCAAAAGAGGCAGCCTTTCCGCCCCCACGTTCCTCCTCCCCACCTCGTTGAAGAGCAGCTCCCGCCTCTGCTGCTTGCGCAGGTCCATCTTCTTGACCGCCACCAGCTTCCCAGAGCTCTTGACGGTGGCGATGCAGACGATGCCCGTGGAGCCTTCGCCGATCTTGATGAAGTTGTCCAGGTAGGTCCTGGGGTCTCCGGGGTCAACCACCATCTGCAAGGCAGCTCGGAACTGTTCGTGGGAGACCCGCTGGGGCTCGCGCTGTGGGGAGCAGGGCTGCTGAGGAGCCGGGGGAGCGGGGCCGGGGGGGCTGGCTGGGGGAGGGGGCGGGGGGGGCCGGCACGTGGGTCAGGTGGGGGTCTGAAGCATGTTGGGAGAGTCCCGGGTGGGGGGGCTCCGGATTCCTGGATCGTGCTGGGCCTGAAGGGGGGGGCCTGGAGGGGCCGCTGCTTCCACTCACGGGGCCATTGGATGCGGCTTCTGGGGCCTTCCCAGGCCTGTGCTCTGCCTAGAAAGAGGAGGAAGAGCAACCGTCACTGCAAGAATGAAAAGCAAAGCCCTCACTGGGCCCATCTTTACTCTAGCAGAGAGAGAGAACCACTCAGCCTTTTCTAACCCTCTGAAAGAAGAAAAATACCTTGGGGCCTGCAAGCCTTTTTCTCCTTCCTTCTGAGGAACCGAAGGAACACAGGACTACCCCACTGATATTCCAAGCCTGGCAGTCATTTCTTTCGGTCCTGCTACTCTGCAAAGCACGGGTGCCATCCTTGGGCAGTGCGTATGCCAGGAAGTGCTCCCCAGAAGAGGCAGGCCTGACTGACAGACAGCATGTCTATGGATGGTTGCCCCCACGTCCCTTTGGGCGGCCATCAAGAGATCTGGGGGTAACTCCTGTGCAAGGAGCCCTCATATTCAGCAGCCCCGCGCTGCTTACTAGATCAGGGCAGAGGATTTCCTATCCCTGGCAACCTATATCCAAAGCCCACTGGGCGCTTCAGTCTCCCTTTCCTCTCTCCCGCAGGGTCAAGCAGAGCCTCCAAAAAGCCCACCAGTAAAACATCCCTTTCATCGCAAATGTCAAGGAACGGCCCTGCGAGTTCCACCTAATCAGGCTGAGGTTTGGGCCCTTCCAAAGGAAGAAAAAAGCCCCCGCACGGGCTGAATCGGGCCCCTGTGCTCATCTCTCTCCAGCTTCCTGCAGAAGGAGCCTGCCCCAGAGGAACAGGAGGGCCCTGTGCCCGACAGCGAGAGAGGGGGGAAAGGAGTGTCGCTCCCTCCAGGGTTAGCGGAAAGGACTGCCACCAAGGCAGATGTTAGTTGAGTGAAAACTGAATTACTGGTCCTGTAGTAAGAGAAGAGGAAAGAGTCGGGTGGCAGAGGCAGAAGAAAACGCTCTGGACATCTCATGATGATTTGATGGGTTCCGCAATACGAGAAGTTGTTCGCGGCTGCAGAGCTTCTATGAAGACAGACAGAGAAGTTGCCGCTACACAGAAGAAAGTGGCCATGGACAGTTATTAGTGTGCACAGAAGGGGAGACCAAGCAGAGAGCAGACCCCAAGATGGGCAACACAGGAGTGACTCCGGTTAGTGGAAGCAAGGAGTGTGAGTGCCCAGAAAAGGCAAGGCAAGGCAAGGCAGGAAGGAAGGAAGGCAGGAAGCCACCCGCTGCGGCTGGCGGGAGGCCACAAGGCGAGGAAGGAGCGCTACTTGACGGAGAAAGGCGACAGGAGAACCTGGTGAAGGTGCAGAGAGCGGAGCACAAGGAAGCAGCAGGCTCTGCTCTTGCTACGAGAGGCGGCCGTCCTAGCTGCAGAGGCACAAAAGGTGCTGCTCTGCCATTCCAAAGAAGCTCGGGGTTTGCCACACGGTCAACCAACTAGGCTACGCTGAGAGGCTATGCAGGCGTGGCTTAAAAGAGGTAAAGCGTGGCCTTTTCAATGGCAGAGAAGCTCAGGCGCCAAGAGAATGGCATCTCCAGTGGGTCGGTCCCGGCTGGCCAGTCCTACAAGGGCCCCAGCTAGCAGATGCCCTGCGAATCTTTACCTGAGCGCCCCGGACGGGATCGGTGTCTGCTCGTGGGTATGTGTTAAAAGGCCGTCCGGTCTGCTGCGCGGTTTTCATCACACCCTCAGAGACGGGGATATTAGGGGTCCGGATATTGGGCCCAGAGAGGGGCCGTTTTTCCCGGGGGGACTGTGGGCTGGCCTCACCAGTGTAGGTAGACTTGGGTCTTTTGTCAGGGCCCTCCGCCCGCTCCCTCTTAACCACACGCTCAGAGGGGGGCTCCCTCTTCCTGTCCCGTTCAGGCGCCCTGTGACTATGTTCTGAGAAGGGCTTCTGGTGCTCAGGAGGCCGGTGATGGCTGGACTGCTGGTGAGGTTTGTTGATGGGCTCATGTCCACGGGAGTGTTGGGCGGCAGTCCTGTCGTCCCAGCTCCTTTCCCTGCTTGGATCCACTTCGTTCTT